TGCTGATTCAACCTGACCCAAAAACAAGCGAGCCGCTCCTCATGCATCACATGCTGTCCACATGTGTAAGAGAGAGACACAGAGCACAGAACGCGTGGGTTATCGTTTTAGGTTCACAGGTATGCCACAGACCACTTGAAAAAATTGTCCCATGATCTCCTCCACTTCTTCTCGCTCACAGCACTATGCCACTCATTCGTTCTCGCGACCCTGCTTCCTTTGATTACCGACTTGTTTATGTTTCGTGCTTCTTTTTGGGGGATGAAAATTAATCCTACCATTTCCAGATCGGGACTGGGTCGACGGCGTTTATGACAATTCGGATCTTGCTGGATCATGGGGTGCAAGAAGACCGCATCATCTTTATGACGTTTTTGGTTGCCAGGATTGGCGGTATTGGTGTCGTTCGAAAAGCTTTCCCGAAAGTTAAAATTATCACGGGCGCCATCGACAATGAAGTTAGAGAGATTTGGAGAACAGATGGAGCAGAGGGAGAAGGGCGGAAGGATTGGGCCATTGTACCCGGCTTAGGCGACATTGGTGGGTTCAATGTATTTTTCTCTTAGGACATCTCACTAAGGGGTTTGGTATAGAGGGCAGATATTTCTAAGGGTCTCAGGGAGAGGTAGATCTCCAAGCATTTCCAACTGTCAGGGTTGAATGTTGGCTTTATTCTTTTTCTTTTTCTTCTTTCTCTTGCTTGGAGGACTATCGCTATGGCTAGCACTTTGGGTTGTTCCCAGTCCCACAACTTCCTCTTTCGACTCATCCAACACATCTGCCTTCCGTTTCTTGTTCAAGGATATTACTTTTCGTACCAGACATGCAACAAAGAAACCATTTGTGCCGTCTTCAGGTAGACAACGAATGAAAGATTCGGCTATCGAAATATTAGTACAGTACGGATTTCTTGAGAGAGAAAAGCATACCCGTAGTATCATCCAACCCTTCGGTCTGAGCTCCACGTCTATGCCAAGTTGGTATCACTTGCTCTCTATTCGCCAACTCGAAATTGCCAACACGAGCTTCTTCACTTTCTAATGCTCGAAGAACCACCTGTTCATTCTCAATGGCGTGTATACTACAGGTCGAGTAGACCAAACGCTGAAGAGCTGGAACTGAATGTGATATTAGCACCAGTCAAATTCCTGGACGAAGTCTTACATTTCATCGCATGCTGTAATATCTTGAGTTGGAAAGCAGAGAGTTTCTCAAGACGTTCCTGGTCCTCTTTAGAATCTGATTCATCGGCCTCTAACATAGAATGAGTCGCCTGCTCAGTGTAGACAGATGGGCAAACCTTGTGTGGTGAGATAGTCCAAGCGGTTCACTATCCCCGATCCAGAGCAAGATGGGTCCAATAGGCTATACAACGAATTATCAAATGGGCTTGAAGATGAGGGACAGACATACATATGCGTGACATTCGAGTATTCAGGATCAAAAGGATCAACTGACAAAAAGTCGAGATTCTTGGTGACAACATTAGTTGCACCTGCTCGTTCGAGCATTTTGTTCAGAGTTTGAAAGCGCTTCCTATCCCGTTCGAATGCTGTGACACGACCTTTGCC